AGAACTTATAGTGAGAAGAGCTTAAACACCAGGGGAAGACACTTCTCCCTTTCATTTGATGAGATGCTGGAAATTCAACTTTCAACAGAAAATTCAGATCAAGAGGTTTTTTCTTCTAGAATTCTTAAAAGGGAAAAACTACTATTTTTATGACCAAAGTCCAGTGTGTTGAAGACTATACAGAACCTCATACTCTCAGGAAACCACAGTACCTTCCAAATGCTTTTGTGCTAAATATGTGGACAAGCCCATCAGGCGCCACAGTGGTTTTCACAGCGTTCTCCTTGTCACACAGGGACACTGTGATTGGAGCCAGACGGGAGGTTTGTATGCCATAGTTGGGAACACACTGGGTTCATGCTGGGTCCAGAAATAAATCCTAGATGATGTTTAGGTTCAGTATGAAATAATTAGTATTTTAGGATGCAAACAGTCCAGGAGCCAGAATAGTAAGAGAATAGGAATAAAAATAAGGATGTGTCATCACACAGAAAAAGAGTCAGGGGAAAAAAAAGAGTTAAAAATCTGGATGTTGTCATCAGGGGGCAAAGAATGTTTCTCAGGAGTGAGCCAATCAGATTCCACCCATCCATTTTGAAAAAATAATCTAAAAATACTTAAGAATCAAGATTTTTTTTTAAAATTGGCTACAAGAAAAGAATTAAGAAAAGTCTGTAGAATTTTTAGGAAGCTATTACTTGATTAGAATAAAATTATTACTATTAATATATCAAAACATTTTTGTCCCTACTTGATGGGAATTCTTTTTGTTGGCCAAGAAAGTTACAGTTTAGAAACTATGCTCAATCTTTTGTTCCTAAAGATTTTATGCCACTACAATGAAACGAAGGAACATTTTAAGGGGGTGGGTTTTCACATGGAGAATACTAAAAGTTGCTCCGAAGTCAATCACAGTCGTGGGTTTTACCTATAGAGCTCCCGAACAGGAGTTACTCCCCCCAGTGCTGACTTGCATTCTGATTTTCCTGGTGCAGAGCAGGGAGGTGACGAGGGCAGTGACCTGATGCTCAGGGTCAGTGTAAGATTCTGCTGATGAGAAGGCAGTGCTTAGACACATTCTGATCCGTAAAGGCCACTTCTCACATAAGAGTGATTTCACTTCAAACCTAACACCGTGAAATTTGAACTATTGTGTAGAAATATCAAGTGTTTCTTCTTGTCACCTACAGCTTTGGCCTAGGGAAGAGCAATGTCTGCAAAACACCATGTCCTCCTTGTAGTCCCACTTGCCCCCTCTACTCAGCACAAAAAAAGGGGGGCGGGGAGGACTAGGCTTATGATGTCACGAGAGAGAAGACTGAACAAGGAAGAATGAGCCACAGGTGAGGTGAGGTGAGATGCGTGATTGAACCCCAGGTTGAGAGTCTCCATCTTGTGCTCACTACTAAGGCATCAGGACTCCTTCCTGGAGACACACCCTCACTAGGCCATCTTCTCTGCAGAGCTCTGGGCACCTGGGCAATGCCTGGGAGGTACCTGAATGCTGCTGATGAGGTGATGCCAGCTCCCATCAGGCCCCTCGTTCCCCATCTGACCCCCAGCAAAGCAGCACAATGCACCACCACTCCGCCTGCCGTCTGTGCTGTCCTGTGCTGATGGGGAGACCTCTGGGTGTGGTGCAGTCCATAGGTCCTCCTAGGGGACGTGCAGCAGTCACCACACACTCGCCACCTCCTCCTGCAGCTGCACTGTCTGTCCAGCATGCTCTCTGCCAGGGCTGCACACCCCTGCAGGCCAGAGGGTGGGCTGGGCCCACACCGCAGCTTCGCCGTCAGCACTGCCTGAAGAGCTCATCCTCAGAGCCTGTTCTCTGAAAGTGGCACTTTCTCAACAGTTTTTACTCTACCCATGCCCCCAATGTCAAGCTCCACCTCCTGTCTGCCCAGCAGCTGGGGAGAGAATTCTCATGATCGTTGGGAGGCTCTGCTTTCCAGGGGAAGTGAGGGCAAGAAGGGTTTCCTGGGCCAGGGCTCAGCTTGTGTGTGTGCATGATTGTGTGTAACGTAGATAGAAATCCTAAACAATTAGCACAGTGTAGACACACAGCTCAGTACACCGTGGCCATTCTCATACCACTCTCATGGATACACACCCCAAGGAGAAGCCTTCAATGTGTAAGAGGGGCCTCCATGATGAGACCCCTTGTTGAGGGTTAACACATCAACTGCACGGACAAACAGAAGACACAGCAGCGGCTACCTCTTCTCTTTCACAGACGAAAAACCACAGGGGAGGCACAGCTCCACTGATTAAGTCGATGCAGATGTTTCGAATGTTCTGCACCTCCTACTTCACCCCATGTTGACATACATGACTGACGAAGGTGGTGCTGTGATTTAGGAAGCTGGGAGATGCAAGTAGATACACGAGTGTGTGTGAGAATGTAGCACCATTTGCAATAGTTTAAGCAGAAGCAGCTTTAAAATAGCATATGTTCCTTGGGATTAATGTGTTGGAACTGTCAGCTGAGTGACTCCAACCACCAACGGTGCCCAAACATGGTAAGATACTCTAGCTGGGAAGCGTTGGCCCCACGCGTAGTGCTGACACTATCTGCAGCTCTCGGTCCGTCCTCACCAGCTGCTCTGCCTGTCAGGGCGGCAGGGACCAGCCGACTGGTTGGAAGTGCTATTTCTGTGCATAGGATGTGTGTAAGCACATGTCACAGTAAGCCAGACCAGGATGTGAGTCAGATTATTACAAAGTGGCAAAAAGGACTGATCTTCAAAGCACTCTGAAAGCGTCCTGCCATGCTACAAACAGGAGCTACAGTTTGAAAGACACAATTACTAAGCTAAGGAGAAATCCTGAAGAATACGGGTGATCAGAATTGGCCAAAGGCCTACCTACCAATGAAAAGAAGTGGATAAGGTCGAAACTACAATCTGGGTCTTAAAACTTAGAGGTAAAGAGAGAGATTTATTACCAGCAGCCCCTTGTTTCTCAGTAAAGTTGGTCAGACATGCAGAAGTAGTGTACCGTGGGCAGCTGGGAAAAGCTCTGGAACATGAGTTTGCTTTATTTTCGTTTTAAAACAAAACATTTTATCTGAAGAGCAACTTTCATGGAGCCAGTTAATGGTCCTAAACTGGCTCTTTAAGAAGAGTCTATTGGCACTGAGGACTAAAATACACAAAAGAGAGGAGGAGGGAGGGGCAGAAGGGGCCAATAGGGGAGGAAAGGGGACATATGTAATACTTTCAACAATAAAGATTTTTTAAATAGATACACAAAAGATGCCTATCTATAACACTATTTGTAAGAGTGAAATTATTATCCACCACAATATCCACAAGTTGGTTAAATAAACTATGTTTCCTCTCTTTGATGGAGACTAAGCAGCTATTAAGTAGAACAAAATAATTTGAATACACTGGCATGGAATGATGTCTGCGACAGACTGCTATGGCAAAAAGCATGCTGTAGAAAACACGCATACTAATCACATTCCTGTTCAAAGTGATGTGTTGTATATGCATAGAAAAAAGTCTCCACGGAGCCAGGGAAAATCATTGACCATTGTTATTTGTGACAGAGGGAGATTTTTGTACATCCTACTCATTGTTTGAATCCTTTACAATAAAGATTACTTTTATAACAGAAAATAAAACCAACAAAGATAGTTACGAGAGAAGAATAGTATTAACCTGACTTTTGCTATAAGTGTAACATTTAATGGCCCACGAGTCCCTGACCTGGGTGGTGAAGGCACAGCCAGGCAGCCCGAGCGAGCGCTCGGTGAGCCCATGGCGGCTGCGGTCAGCACCCTGAAATGCTGAGAAAGAAGGGCATGCAGACCAAGGAAGCCCTTTGTTTACTGCATTGGGGCTCTTGCCTGTTAGCTCTTGTGGCTTCTGTAACTACATTCTGTTCAGGAGCACTGAGGGAGTTCACTGTGTGGCCGTGACCCATGACCACGACCCCAGACAGGTCACTGGTCAACTTCAGCATGCCAGCACTCTCAACAGAATTCCACTGACTTGCTGTTCAAGGGGTGGCGAAGTGAAAAGTGATAGCAGCAATTTATCAGCTCGTCTTCTCCTTCCCAGCAAAGCCTTTTCTGGTATGTACTTGCCAGGCCAGGATGAAGGGAACTTGACCTATCTCTGTGGCCACAGGAGTCCATCACGGTGTCCTCCCAGTCAGGAATTTCCTTTCTCTAAGTAAACTGTGTCCTCTGGTCTGCCCCGGATACCTCCTTTCTCCAAGAGGGTGGGAGAGCGAGCAGGCCCATCTGTTTTACCACAATGCAAGGGTTTGGAAACAGTCACTGCCTCAGCCTTGTTTCCTGAAGGCTGAAGACGCCCAGGCATCACTGTTCTTCAGTCATTTTCTATTCTTCCTCAGTCTCCTCTGAATACCAGTCAGCCAGTCTCTCCTTCCCCGCCAGCTGCCCTCAGGTAATTCCTGGGCATCCTCCAGATTCTGGCTCAAATGCACGTCCTCCGGGGAGCCTTTCCCAGCACCCCACGGCCAGGCCAGGTCCCCTTATACCTGATATACAGCCCCATCTCAGAGTGCTTATCCCAGCTCGCATTTTCCATTTACTTTGTACAAACTGAATTAATGTCTGTCTTCCTCAACAGAACATAAGCTCTTCGAAGGCAGAGACTGCACCTGCTTTCAGCACTCCCTGTGCACAGGACAGTGTCTGGCACCAAGTACACACCAGAAAACGCTTACTCAAGGCAAGGATGCCGAGGGGGCAACTGGGTGGAATATGTGCCAATGGGGGAGGGAGAGAGAGCAGCTGGGAAGCCCCCCTGCCCTGCTGCTGTCATTAGCTTGCCTGCTTATGATTGGTTAGCCAGACTCCTTGGTTATTTCTTGGGGCCCCTTCAGCTCGGGACCTTGGGCTGCTCAGGGACGCTGGGGGTCCTGGAGCATGGGGAGAATACACTAGGAATGGAAATCCTCGGCCAACAGCAGAGAGCGCCTTGGCCAGCACTGGGTGGGGCGGGGCGGGCAAGGGCACTGACCTCGGCTGATGCGCTGCTTCTCCCCAGACAGGATGCCCGGGCTGTCGATGATGCTGATGCTCTTCAGGACCTGATTGGGCAGCTGGGAGCACATGAATCTGGAAGAGAGATCAAAGGTGGGATCAGAACGGCACTGCAGAGTGTGCCAACGACGGAGCTCCTTGGCCTTTCTGGGCTACTGACATCATCTGCTGTGAAGTGGGGCTTGCAGGGGACTGATGGGACCTCCATTGGGGCTACCTGCTACCAGACTCCTTACTGTTCACTGTGATTTTTACCAACATTTATTGAACACTTAGATATTTTACATCATCTCATTTGCTCCTCATATTAACCTCAGGAGGAAAAAATTACTCAACCTCAGAGAGGTTAGGTTAAGTAACTTGCTCAGAGTTACTCAGAGCTGGGCCTTTTTTTTTTTTTTTTTGTATTTTTATTTATTTATTTATTTATTTTTTGTCCTCAAACCAAGTTTAATGTCACACTTTACACTTTGTACATTTATTCTAAGTATAGAGTAATACAATGCATACCTATTCTAATCATAATTGTACCTGTTGTAGTTCACAATCTGGGTAAACTGTTAATCTCAGAGCTGGGCCTTAACCCAAAGCCTGCTAGCCTCACCTGCACCTCTTCAGGCTGCTCCTTGGTCAAGTGTCCGGATCTTCTCACCCAGGGGAATCCCAGGCCCCACTGGGCTGGAGCGTGCCGAGCTCCTGCCAGGCCCTGCCCGATCCCTAAAGTGACCTCAGAAGTACTGGGGCCTGTTTTCACTATGTGATGCCTAAGGACTCAGCACCCAGCCTGACACCTGCTATGGCTTCAGGTTCAGGGTGGGGCAGGCACCTGTGGGCAACCCCCCAAATCCTCCAGGTGTTTGAGTCCTAGGAGTACCCTATAAGCACATGGAGGGCAGGGTGGGGAGGGACCTGGCCAAGCTTCTCCAAGCCTCCTTCCTTGTCCGTCAATTCCATTCCTTCTCCATCTGCTCTCCCTCCTATGGTTCTTGTCTGCTGTCCTGACGTAGGCCTCATGGAAGAGTGGAGTGGCAGGAAAACTGTGGCCGGGGTCAGCAGACCTGGGTTCAGGTTCAGCTCAGCCGCTGCCAATAAATTCCTGTGGGACCTTGGACAAGGACTTCCGCCCTCTGGGCCTCAGTTTCCTCATGGGTAATTGGAGACACCTGGACCAGGGCGGGTGAGTCTTTTTAGCTCTAACACTGTCTAACTCTAGAGTACTAGAGGGAAAGGCTGTGTTCCCTCCACCCCAGGTGACAGAGCCCGAGGGGGATCTCTTAAAATAAAATAAGTAAATAAATATATAAAAATTTCAGTGAGGAAGGGAGAGGGAGAAAGAGATTGAGATATCAATGATGACAGAATCATTGATCGGCTGCCTCCTGCATGCACCCCACTGGGGATCGAGCCTACCACCCAGGCATGTGCCCCGACCGGGAATTGAACCGTGACCTCCTGGTTCATAGGTCGACACTCAACCACTGAGCTACTTTAGCCGGGCCCAAGAGGGATCTCTTTTAGCACTGGATATGTTTTCAGGTGGAAACGGTACGGGGACAGGAAGGCTCTCCTTTGTCTATATTGTCAGTGCTAACTTCTGTATCTGTGTGGGCAGAAAGCTTGAAACCCTTGGTGAAAGCTCAATTCTTCCATTCAGTGGAACTGGTGGGATTACTCAGAAAGTAAATATGCGGGGAATGCAGGACAGGGAGGCCTGCCCAGCCTTCGCATGCACTGGTGGACAGCACAGAGGGCAGGCTGGGGCGTGGCCAGGCGGGCAGGGGTGGGCAGCCCTGAGCTTTTGCTGTAACTACTGACCTTTCAAAATAACTTTCTTTGAAGGTACTCAGGACAAGTTTGTCATACATTCTTTCCTAGATTTTCAAATCAGCCTGGGATGATGTAGGAAAGATATTACGAGCATTCTGTAGCTAGAAACTCTGAAGCACAAAGCAGTTATGGCATTTGGAGGTCATGCCACGAATGCATGGCTGGCTGGAGTGCAGCCTAATGTTCTGATGTCAGTTGAGTAGAACTCAACCCATAATGTTAAAAACCCTATAACGTGAAAAATAAAGGGTCAAGTTAATTTAAGAGAAGCCCCTCATTTCTGACTTTTCCTGCCCCTCCTGCCCCCTCCACCTTTACGTAAACCTCACTGCCACCCCTTGGCGAGATCTGTGAGAATGAGTGCACAGGGATCCCTGAGCAGCCTTTGTAGGTTCACAGAATAAGAAACGCCATGTTCAGTGCTCTAGCATTGGGGAGGAACGGAGTTCTGAGCACAGCTGTGTTGGGCCACATTTCTTGTCGGCTGTGATTCAGACTCTTATCACAGTCCAGTCCTTTCTATGAGGTGGCTGGAGGCATCGGGCAATCTGGAAAACGTGCCCATATGTGGAAAAGCATTCCTGAGAGAGGCTGACCTTTTCCCCAAAACCACTTAATATCAGTATTTCCAAAACACAAAATCCCTGGATTCTACTGTAAAGTTAACAGAGGGACTAAAACATTCACAAACTGTCCATTCCCTCATGTGCCAAGTGACAACGTTTCAACAACTCCCTTGGCTCCTGATGCATCTGCAGAGGCAAAATGTATGAGCCGTGAAATAAGATGCAGTCAGATATAGTGAAGTTACCACACAACAAACAAGGGAGAGGGATTGGGCCAGGAGGGGTAACTGCAGAAAAAAGGAGGAGGGACAGAGGGGAGAGGGAGAGAGAGAAAGGAAGAGGAAGGGAAGCAGGGAGTGGGAGAGGGAGAAGAGGGAAGACAAGGACCTTGAGGAGAGGGGGAAGAAGAGGAAAAGATGGAAACATTCCAATTCAAGGAGGAAGGGAGAGGAGGAAGAGGGGGGAGGAAAAGAAAAAGGAGCTCTCCAGAGGCACCCAGAGAGGGGTAGTTGGGATTGTGTCCAAATC